GTGCCAATTAAAATGTTAGGTAAATGTTGAGTACTGGTCTTATCCATCCTTCTCAGAGATAGAATTCTTTGTTCAGGAGATGTCATTACTAATATATCTGACTTGTCTATTTCCGGGGAAAGGGAATGAATAGGAATGAAAACCAGCCTTAGTGGCCTAGGATGGCAGGGATCTGCTGGGCTTTATGGACATAAACCTCACCAAGAGCTATCCAGATACTGCTTCAATGCTGAAAGAGACAGGGGGTTTACAAGCAGAATCTATGCCACAAATCAAGAATAGATTACTTTAGTTTTCATTTGATAAATTAACAAAAAGAAAAACTCCAGTGTGCAGGATTAATGCATGGATAGTCAGTCAGGGCTTTACTCCTCACAGTTATCTTCCAGAATTTCCCATCCCACAAATAACTCTTCCTGGGGTTAAGTGATGCACTGGAGAAAGGAATGGCCCAAAGGAAAGAGGACTCAAGCACGTAGGACAAGGTAGTTGGTGAGGCAGAGGAATGCGGGAAGATGATGAGCTAGATGGCAGGGGAAGGTACACAAGAAGCCTGGACCAGAGGGGAAAGCATCAGGTGAAGATGCCTACCAACATGACGGCAGGAGAAAACATCATCTAAAAGAAGAGTCATACCAATTAGGACGGCAACTATAAAAACACAACAACAATCTAAAAACAAGAAAGTAGCAAGTAATGTGGAGCTGTAGAGGAATTAGAGCCTGCACTGTTGGTGAGAATATAAAATGGTATTGCCACAGTGGAAAGAGTATGGCAGTGGCAGTTCCTCGGACCACCATAGGATCCAACAATTCCACTTCTGGGCATATACAAAAAAATTGAAAGCAGAGAGATATTTGTGTACCCATGCTCATAGTAGCATTATTCACAATGGCCAAATTCTGACCCATGCAACAACATGGAGGAACCTTAGAGGATATGATGCTAAGTGAAATAAGCATGTCACAAGAGGACAAATACCACATGGCTCCATTTATATGAGGTATTTAGAGGAGTCAAATTCACAGAGACCGAAAGTAGAATGGTGGTTGCCAGGGGCTGGGAAGAAGGGGGAATGAGGAGTTGTGGTTTAATGGTGACAGTTTCAGTTTTGCAAGATGGAAAGAGTAGAGATAAATGGATGAATGGTGGTGATTGCACCACAATGTGAATATACTTAATAGCTCTGAACTGAACACTTGGTTAAGATGGCCAATTTTACGTTGTGTGTATTTTACCACAATTAATTTTTTAAAAAGAGGAAGATAATATCAGGAAAACCCCTCATGGGCAACTAAACACCGAACATTTCTGAGTAAACCTTTTGAATGAGAGTTATCCTGTTGTTTATTTGGCTTCTTGAAAAAGAAAATGAACAAAAACACATCAGTACTTAAAATGGCCCCCCTTGGGAACAGAGCTTAGAAATATAGAAGACCCATGTCCCAAGGCAAAAGACTGGGATATGTAGCATGTGAGAAATAGGTTGGAACTACCCTTTTAATAGAAAATATCCTACCACTGTGCACATGGGCAGGGGTAGCCTTCAAAGATTCAAAAAGAAATACTGCCCTGCCTGCCTATCTGACTTTTAATGGGGCTTCAAGTATAGAAGCCATAAGGACTTTTTCCTGCCTCACATCAATGAGACTGTCCCTACAGTCCTCTTCCCAGGGACCACCAGGTTATCCTGAGCCCCAGAGAGTCTGTAGATATGCAGAAGCTTCCAGAGAGAGAAGAGGGTTTGAGCTAGTACAACCCATGAAAAACAAGGTTGAATTAGAGCTTCCCTCTGAAACCACAAAATGTAAATCAGTGTGAGCCTTTTTTTAAATTTACCACACACAGGTCTTTATGGGTAAGATTTAGGTGGATGACCACAGTAAGGATTCTGTTTTTATTGTTGTTTTTGCTTTGTTCTGTTCTGTTTTGTTGGGTTTTCCCCAGATAGGGACTTTTGGAATTTTACACTAAAAGTTAATAAGCCCCCCCCCTTTATGCACACACACATTTATGTAGAAGAAAGACTTTGAGGCTATGATTCACAGCAAGTGCTGCTGGCCTGGCTTTTGGGAGAGGGGTGTGGCTGCCCAAGAATTCACAAAAGCACGTTGAACAGACAACTAAAAGTAAAAATTAAATTTATGTTTCTAGAGAGATCAGTCAGGGAGTAATTTAGTGCGGAAAAAGAATTCCCCGTCTGGGGCTAAGTCTTCGGAAAGGGAGAACTAAGTCTCTATGGGGGCATCCTATTGTAAAATCCAATAATATTCAATTAAGGGGCCACAAGGTAGCAAAAGCTATTTTTTTTATATTTCAAGCGTCCTGTTAGAAACTGATTATCTGCTCAGGATGTGGTCACATGGGCTAAGTGAAAGGTCAAGTTGTTTTCTGGCTGAGCTGGAAGTCTATCATGTCAGTGGGTAACATGACATATCATGTCTCACCAGGATCAAAAACTCTGGTCCATCATTGATGAGATCAAGGGCATTTCTGGGATGAAATTCTTCTTTCCCATTCTGGTACATGTCTTTGATTAATAAAAATGGATTTACAACTAAATTAGCACTTGCTAACTGCAGGTTGGCAAGCAAAATTTTGCAAAACCCTGGATTCACCAAGGGAAAAAATAAAGAGGTCTTGGGTGATGAAAAGTTGGGGAACCACTCTTGAGCCTCCTCATCCCCTCCCCCAAACAGGCACAATTCTGGGGAATAAACAAAGTTCCCTGGGGCCAGAGTGGAGCGTGCCTGTTGTGTGAGAAAACTCAGGGAGAGACAGTGTAAATTAACTGCATCTGGCCAGACTGAGCCAGGAGGGGGAGGAGATAATTAGTTGGCATTGTAGGAACAAGGGCAAAGAAGAGAGTCCTATATTTACCCAGAGAAAATCCAAAATAGACTACTTTGCACCCGTTTGGTGTTCATGGGTGATCTCGACATCTCCAAGTCAGCAGGCGTTGAACCCAGGGGCCAGCTGCACAACTCAACCAAACCTCTGATGACACCCATCCCACCTTCAACAAATGGAAACCTGGCTGCATCCACTTATGCTTCCACAAATGAAGGAAAGACAGCTAAGACACACCGAAAAGACATTCAACAGCAATAAAACAAGACTCTGGTGAAGGAAAAACCTACAATGAGCAAAACAAATAAATGCATCTGTTTATAATAAAATGCTTTCTCTAAAAACCTGATACTGATCAATTTACAGTACCCTTTGGTATGTTATGTGTAGACGTGAAACGTTTTGGAAATAACACATATTTCAAGTGATACAGAGACTTCACTGGGTTGTTTTATTGTGCATAGGACAGTAAAAATAAGTGCCACAGTCACATAAAGCTCCATAATATAGCAGCCAAGATACAGTTTCCACCTCCTCAGAAGAATTTAAGGCATTCTAGCACCAACAACAAAGGCACCAAATATGAAAATATTTTCTCCCATAGATGCAAAAAGACTACATTTTTTGTATCTGTAACATGTGTATTGCATAGGCAGAAAACAGCATATTCAGCTTTATCTGTGGGTATAACTCTACGTAGTTTCTTGCAGGAAGAGCTACTGCTAAGCTCAGAGTCCTTAGGATGTGTGCTCACGAGTTGCAAGATGAAGGTGAGCATTTACAGGTTTGCCAATATTCCTAAAGCTGATTTAAGGGTGTTTATTGCAAGAAAACATGTAACAATGATGAGGTTAGAGTGCCTTCCTAAAAGGACAGCAAACATTCGTGAAAAAGACTACATGAAGATTAAAAAGCTCAGGGTACACGCTGGAAAGACTGGATCTGTGTCTAGGCTGCTCTTATATCCTTCAAACTCCCCCAGAGGATCCCAAGGCTATCCTGGGAAGCTGGGAATGGACGTCCCATGCAATCAGCACACCCAACTCTCATAAGTTAGGACAGAGAGGGCTGGGAGAAGGTGCTTGTGGCAGTGAGAGGAGGTAAGGACAACTGTTTCTTTAGTGCCAGCTCTGCTCCAACCAGCTGTGCAAACATGGGCAAGTAGGCAGTACCCTCCAACTCTTCTCCCACTGTACCATTAAAGAACAGAAGTGCTGAGTGCTTTGTCCAAGGTCAGAAGCTAGGACAGAATCAGAATTCTAGCCCCCTCGTTCCTAAGACTATGCTATACTTTTCACGAAGAAACCAAGCTGGGTTTCTGGGAAGAATGCCAGAGGTTCCATTCTCCCAGCTGAGGATTCACTGGAATATTGGAATAACAACTTTGGAGACTGTGGTCTCTCCAATCCATTTCAGGACCTGGCTAGAAACATGAAAACCCAAAGAAAGAAGCAACAGGGAATTATTCCGTTTTTTAATGAAAGAGAAAAAATTAGGGGTGGGAATATGGGATTTCTTAAAAATTACATGATTGCTGGAAGTTAATTTGGTATTTCTTCATTGGTTTATAAGTTCTGTTTCCAATCACAAAAACAGACAGCTGAGGATGCCTAACTCACATTTCAATGAATTAGCATCTTGTCCCAAAGAATCTTATCCACTCTGAATATAACACAGGACCCAGAATGCAATCCTCTGTCGTAGAAAGGAATCTCCCTCAATGCAATAGAGAGCTTGTCATAATCCCCTAAACCGTAATCTAAACTGGAAGTCATCAAGCCCAACAGCAATCACACCACACAGGGGTTGCCACTTAACTTGGGATACACTGCCTCTTTCAGCAAACTGACTGAGGTCCTGCCCTGCCAGGTAGGAGAGATGGCATCTCCTACCATCCACGCCCTCCCTAGTAGGCTGAAGCAAATGCACCTGGAAAAGAATCCCGTCGTGGATTTAGAGACCTAAGTTCAAAAGGGAAGGTTCTGACTTCTTCCAAGTAAGGCCAACCAGAACAAGAAAATGCATGTTGAACTAGCATCATGCCTTGAAGGTAACATAAAACCAACCTTACGACAAAGCCCAAGTGATCAGTACTCAGAGTTGAGATTCATAAAGGAAATGATTTTTTTTAAATCACTTTTTCCCCCTACCTGTCGATGATGACAGGGTCTGAAGGAGTCTCATTTCGGTTTCCACAACTTTTCTTTTCACAGCATCGACTGTAGATTGGGAAGGAACCAAAAAAGTAAAAGAAATTTGTTAAAATCAAGAAAAAGCAATAAGCATACAATGTAGGAACGTTCACAAAAATTAGTATGTCCTGGGTAGCCTCTTCACTATCCGCTGCTTGAGAGCAGAATTTATGGCCATGTTTAAAAACAATAATGAACTTGAAGCCCAGAGATACTCATTTAAATTCTCACTCTGTGACTTATAAACCAGGTAATTCTTAGCAAATCACAATTTTCCCAAGAATTGTATTTGTAATCTGAACCATGGACAGCTGGATTTAAAAATCTATAAGGTTATTTCCAGCTCAGTGTTGAATGATTTTAATGACTATATATATTAGATCTTTGTGTCTTAACAAATATTTAGAGAAAGAAGGGAAAGGAAAATGTATAAAATAGCTGCCTGGATTTTTACCAACCTTATTTACATAACATCTCAGTGTACTTTATAAACATGTATGCCTTCATCCATTTCCATCATTTTCTAAATATGAAGGAGGAAGAGCAGAACTATGGCATGTATTTTAAAACAGGAAGAAAATGAGGCAGGGAGCTGTAAAGTTATAGCTCCAATCCTTCTCACCAAGTCATGGAACAGAAACGGGACTGGATGTACAGTTCCCATCTTGAAAACACTCCCTCCCAAAACTTGCACCTGCTGGATGATGCTGGAGAATGCACGAGACAAAGAGGTCTTAGAACAAGTGCAATAGGTAAGAAGTACTCAGAAGGTCCTTTGACTTTGCAGAAATAAAACACTCCAATCAAAGGGCCCTGTGTGGGAGAGCTAGAGGAATGTAAAAAGGGCAAAGGCCGCTTGGTGGTGGAGAAGCAATGGGACACCACCTCCTTGAGTTGCCCTAGTGCTGCTTGTCAGGACTACAGACTTCTGAATACCTCTCAGCTCACTCAAGCACATGGCCAGCACTGACTATCACCCTGACAGGGCTTATATGAAAAGCATTATCATCCACACTGGTTGGAGACTAAGCCTAATAAGCCTTAGCAATAATAAAATTACATGTAAGTGCGGTCCTTCCCCTGATAGTTCCTCTGTAGCTTAAGGTTGGCGTGGCCCAATAGAAAAAATGTTAACGTGGGAATCAGAGCTCTGGTGCCTAACCCAACTCCGTCCCAAACCAGCTGCGTGAATTTAGTCTAATCTCTTTAACCCCTCTGGGTTTTGCCTCCCTATATATAAAATTAAAATGTTGGGCTAGATTATCTCCAGAGTTCCTTCTAGTATAAGTCCAGGAGGCTATGGGATTCCCTGAGCACCCTTCAAAAGTGATGACAGGCTAAGGAAAAGAGGGAAGCCATGTGGCAGCAGGAACTCAAAGGCCTAGCACAGCCCAGGGATAAATTTAGTTTCTGGTTCTCTGCAGTGCTTTCACCATCTCGGATCCTCCACAGAATTACAAACAAACAAACAAAGAACTACTTTACAACTTTTTAAATCCATCTCTCTCATGCAGGGGCATGTGGATTATTTAGTGAATAATTTTACCATTCTATGAAAGTAGAATATACTTGAAAGATGTTTTAAAAAAACAAAAAAACTTTCACCAAATGGGTACAATGAGGTTTTAAGAAATTTAATCAAATTAGTAAGAAGTAAAAGAAAAAGTGTCTCAACTTTCTTAAATACCAGAGCTTGCCCCTGGGACTTTCTGAAACAATATTTTGCCTTTGAAATTATGTTAGGTCTCAACTTTTAAAATTTCAGTCCATCCCAAGATTAACACCAATAAAAATGCTGACCAGCTGCTCTCCCCACTCCCAGAGCTTGTGTCTTTCTTCCCAACTCCTGCCCCCACCCATTTCTGTCTCCCACCTCCCCTTTTTCAGTGGCTTCTGTCAATGGAATACCTTTGTAGTTCAGGCAAACCTTTTTCCTTAGCAACACAATTTCAAAAGCCCCAACCATGCTAGTTACCTAAAGCCTTCTACCAAGACTCCCCTTTGACATCTCCGGCATGTCAACCTAACCCAAATGTGTGCTTGATGCCGTGTACAATTTAATTCCAAGAGCGCACACTGCTAGAACGTACCAATCTGTTTAGTTTGAGAAGGAATGATTTCGAGGAGGCTGAGTAAGTTTGCAAAATTGCTCAGCTGAATTCAGCTGCTTTCCATGGGGAGTTTCTCGGAGGAAAAGAAAACAGATAAAAATGTAAGCCTGGTGCCAGTGTAATACAATGTGGGGATTCGGCTCAGGGAAGGAAATGATATTTAAAGAAAATGCAGAGAGATTTCAGGACCCAATCTTCTCTTTTCCACCAGTCACATATTTAAGTATAATCTCTAATGTTAATAGCACAGAAAAGATGTAGAAGGCAGTTACTTGGCTGTTGCACTATAAAAATAAAGGTATAAAAATAATAGGAGTGGACTGTATTTGCCCCATTAGAGCCCTTCTTAAAATTTCTCTGGGTTAGCCAAAGCTAATTTTCTTTTTCTTTCCTTTTTTAAAGAAAAATTCTCATCAAGATGTCCTAGTTATTCTTCGTTTGGCTGCTTAAATGACATTCAGTCATCACACCAGAATATTAAGATGAGCAAAGGGGAGTGGAGAGTGGAAGACATTCATGAACCACATTCCCCAAACAATCGTTCTGGGCCCAGGTGTGTGGATAGTTGAGAGAAGGAACTGGGTCCCTGAATTGCGCAGATAACAAACTTCAAGTTCAGTTTCTTTACCTAAAAAGGCTTTTAGGATTATTTCCCAGTGAACAAGACTTTAAAAAAAAAAAAAAAGGAAGAGAAGAGGGGGGAAATTGAACAAAGAGAAGAGGAAACTGAACTTGGCCCTAGGTTAAGACTGTGGTCCTAACTACCAGGAAGAGGCTCCGAAGTGCCCATTTATCCTAATGAATAAAAATGAAAGCTCTTTCTCTATTGGCTTGGTTTGGTTTATTTTATTCTCTTTCTCTATTGGCTTGGTTTGGTTTATTTTATTCTGGTGCTTATTTGGAGAACCTTTTACCTGAAATACTCGAAATTCGTTAACAGGCCTCTTTCATCCTCCCTATCTTTTCATGGAATCTTGAGAGGGAAAGAGAGAAGAAAAAAAAGTTGGGGAAATGAGAAATTTTATCCCAATCCTGAATCTTCCCTGGATTTTTCAGGAAGAGAGAAAGAAAAGGGGGGGGGGGGCTGGAGCAGAAAAGGCCCAGCCATGGACACAGGGTGTCCAGTCAGCAAACTCCTGCTCAAGACAAGTGGATATGCCCTTTCCCCTCCAAAATCGTTTTTAAAATTCAACCCTCAACTTTCAAAAATCTGTCTCTAATTTCAAACTCAAATAAGCGCACAGCATGGTGGCTTTTGTTTTGTTTTCTTCTCCCCAACTCCTCCCTGCGATTGCATAACAAAAGTGTCTAAATTCACACCATCTGGCCGATAAAGACACTGGCCCCACTGCCCGGCTGGCCCATCTGATTAGGGCCCTGTCTAGCCTGCGCCTTGTGGCGAAAAGTCACAGCTGTGGGGTTTGCTCGCACTCAATACAACTCTGTTATTAGCCAGCTGTAGGCCTTGAGACGACTTCTGTTCAAATTATAATATCTTTTAACCCTCTGAGCATTTGAGGGCAGGGGTGGCTGGCAGCGACATAACAACTAGATTTCTCTTTGCTAATAATTGTCAAAATGAACTAAAGCAGGGAAGAAGGGAGCAGAAGCAATTGGAGAAGGGAGAAAAAGTTATTCTCAACGATATCAATATTGTTTCCTTCCTCAAAGCTAAACGCTAATTTATGAGCTTTTTTGACTAAAGATTACAGAACATGAAACCATGCAGGGAAATTCCCAGGTAAACCCCAAAACATTCACCCCACAAATGAAACCGGGTGCCCTAACCATTGCGAACAGGGCATCTCATTCATCCCTCAGCCACTGATGCTATAACGGGCTCTTAAAATGTGGGAGGAGAGACTTTTTCTCCGTAACTGCAGAATCAGTCAGCTCAGACTGACACATCGCATCCAACATTTGTCACTACCCGGTTCATCTACACACACACACACACACACACACACACACACACACACACAGTACCCATCCAATGGATCATTTATTTACCCATTAATTAATATTTGTTTTAAATTCTAGTTTGGAAAGAAAATAGCAGAGCATCTCTTCCCAGGTCTCAAATACAGAGAAGTTACAGTACATTAAATTTTTATATTGTGTTACTAATGCAGACTAAACTAGAGGCTTTAAAAATTGATGCTGCTACTTAAACAGCATAAAATGAGGAGGATTTGATTGGGCTTAAAAATAAAAATGTCAGCTTTAAATACCACTGGATGGGGTGTGCAAGTATTCTTTAAAATGAGAGGTATAATTCATCAGACAATGGGCCAATTTGGGGCTTTCTTTTCTTTTAAGAAGATAATCTCTCCAAACAAAGACATTTAAAAGTATAGAGAGAAATTAAAAAGCATCCGTCAATTAGCCACCTGAATCAGTGTTCTGACTATTTAGTCTAGTTATTACATGCAAACTCATCTTGCAATTGTATTTTCTTTCTAAATGGATCTATGAAGGGGCTCTGGGATGGTGAAGTGGATATCTGCTTACTCCAACGCCCAGTGCCTCACCCAGCTACTCAGGCAAGGAAGCCAGGACCCCTCAGCTCTGGCAGAGCTCAACTTTGCATTTGGCAAATTTTGTTTTTCTAATACTTGGTCAAAACCAAAACAAACATGTCAAATTGTTATGTTTCTTCCTGACTGGGTTGTGAGGGAGACAGCACTGCCAGAAGCTGACCATAAAACAGTCCCGGGCTACATCAGCCACGGCCTCCAATTACCCCAAACTGGCACGTCTGGAGTTGGAAGACATTTACAGAAGCAATCGCAAAGCGAGGAAGAATTGAGGCTTTCTCTCCGATCAGAAATTTTGGAGGAAGAAAAACGTGTGTGTAACAAAGATTTACATTTTTATAGCAAAATCACCACCTCTACCAAGAGTTTCCTTTTTATAGAAAACTCTCCTTTACGAAGGGATCCCCAACACCTGAAAAAACTAGGAACTCAATAAACATTTGTTAAAAGAATAAGTGTGTGGATGAATTTCTTCTAATTGTTTTATTTTCTTCTAGTCACGCAGAAGAAAGACTCAAATGGACTGGATCCGTCTCTGCAAGAAGATGGGGAAAGGTGCAGAAATTCCAGCACACAACTCAGCCGTGAGAACTTCCTCTCGCAACTCAGCCAGGAGAAGCCAGCTGCTGCTCCAAACCCAGCTCTCCTGGCTGCGGTCCTCTCCCACCCCTCCCAGCACTGGTGGTGAACTCCTCTGATCTTTCTCCCCATGGTTCCTCCTCACCTAAGAAACTCCTCCAACATGAGAAATCGTCGGAGAAGCGACATTCCTGGAGGAAGGAAACGCTTTGGCATCATATACATGTGCCTCAGGTGGGGTTCCCCTGAAATGGGCCACTGGACTCTCTGGTGGTCCTTGCCCAGACTGTGGGTCTCCAGTGCTTTGATCTTGAATGCCACACGTGACCCCTCCTTGGAAATCTACCCCGAGCTTGCCAGCCCAGTGGGAATGAGCCTGGTGTACCGAAGTCCCCATTCCAAACTTGGCGGGGGCTGCCCATGCCCCCCTGCTGGACAACAGAAACTGTCCCGGGCGGAGAAAACTCCCCAGACGCCTGGGGACGGAATCCTGCGCGGTCCTGGGTGTCCTTTCCGAGACGCTCTAAGAATCTGGCCTTTAGTAAAGGAGACGTTCTAGTGCGCACCATCCCTCCTGCACACCATCCCTCCTGCAAATCCTTGTGGGGGCGTCCCTGAGCGCAGAGGCCGCTCCCCTGCCCAGCGCGCGAGCAAAGCCCGCGGGGAAAGCAGCTCTTACCTGCACATGACTTCGTGTGTCAGAAGAACTCGGCACATTTCCGGATTCTTATTTTGTCCTTCGTATGCTATGGGCTGCGAAGGAGGCAAGGGCAAGAAGGGAAGTGTGAGGGGAGTGAGGAACAAGGAAAAGGGGACTTGAGAGCAAGCACAGAATCCGTCTTCCTCTCTCTCTGCCCGCCACTTCATTGGGTGTGCCCACTGGAAGCACAGGCCCCAAGCTGTGGCCTGACTAACTCAAGCGAAATATAGACAGGTTTGCCCCACGAGAACATATTTCTTGCAAAAGGCAATGTTTGGGGAACCAAATCTCCCAATAATTGCTTTCTCCCTTCACCATTTTTCTCACTTCCCCACCCAGAAAGAAACAGAACAATTGAGGAGAGAGGGGAAAAATTTTTTTCATAGTGAACAAGGTGCGAGTTGATGTTCAAGGGCATGTGAAGTCAGACCCAGAAATTCGTGGAGGGTGGGGGCAGGGCAGGTAAAGGTGGGGGGAGGTCAGAGGGGGCCCTGCAGAGGAGGGGCCCAGTGGACTGCGGGCTCACCTGCTTAGTGACCGAGTCAATGAGCCTGACGTACAGGTCCTGCTCCGTGCGGACACCTGTGGGGAGGCGATGGGCACAAGGTAAGGGCCCCGGAAGCTTCTCCTGCAAACCCCCCAACTGGCCCCGGTGTAGGGCCAGGCCCAGGAAGCTGCCCAGGGCTGCCACAGGCTGAAAGGTCCTGGGGGCAAAGACCACCCCCACCCCCACCCTCCCCGCCCCCCAGGGCCCTGACCGAGCCTCCCCAGACCCTGCTCTCCCTGGACCTGAGACTGCCTGCAAGCTACCTGGACAAAGGTCAACGGCTTTCCTTGAAAGGGGCCTGTGTGGCACCTGGACACAGAGGGCGGGGGCGCTCACCGTTGCTGTAGAGGAGCTGTAACTTGTAGTGGGTGCCATTGTTGGTCTTCTCGTTGCCTTGTTCCTAAAAAGACAGGCGGTGTTGGAATCCCTGGCTTTGGAGCCCCCAGATGAAGGAAAGAGGAGAGAGCACTTCCTTACACCGCCTCCCCCTGCCTTTCACCCCCTCCACCACACCACTCCGCCCCAGCCCAGGGTCAAAGGGCAGGAGCTTCTGCTGAAGGACCACCGCCAAAACTTGCCAAGGCCCGCCACTTGACCCTCTCCAAGCCTCTGTCTCTCTCCCTTAAAAATATCCTCAGGAGTGTGACCCCTCTGAGGCCCAAAAAAGGGGCACCGCACCAACGCTGCCTTTACCAGTCCCCAGCCAACCCGCCCAGGTGTCGTCCGGAGGAAGTTGCAAGTTCTCTTAGCAGAAAGGTGAAGGGGCCTGTCATATGCAAGCGCTACCTTGTCCCTACCCCACAGGACCAGCGCCTCCGCCCCGAGCTGCAGGGATGGGCCAGGGGCAAGAGGGACCTCTGGGCTCCTGCTGGAAGCTCACATAGTGCAGCTGAGGAGACGGCGGCTCAGAGGGCAAGAGACTTTCCTTTCGTCTCGCCTCGCTTCCTCTGAGATCAAAGGCCTGGGCGGGCAGCGGTGCGCGGGGAGCGAGAGTGGGAGCCGTGTCCGCGAGGAGGGCCGCGCTCTGGTTCCCGCTGGTACCCGCCCGCTCCGCGGGAGCAGCAGGTGGAACAGAACTGACACACGGGAGCGGGCAGCAGGGCCCGGGTGCCTTTGAACTACCCTCTCGCGGGAGGGCGCTCGCTGCGGTCTGTGCAGCACCAGGTTCCGCTCAGGACCCGGAGCCGCCAGCCCGCAGCAGGCGGCGCACCGGCGGGGTGGGAGGCGTGGGGAAACCGACGGATGGAGAGGCTGCGAGTGAGGAGCCTGATCTGTCATCCCTGATGATGTGACAGATGGAATCCTCGCGCTTTGCAAGGAGGCGGCGACCCGCCGGAGGGGCAGGGGCCTGCGCGTACCTTGTCGTTCTCCACGAAGTCCACGAAGGCCGTGCGCTCGATCTCCACCGGCTGCCCCTGCCTGTCGTAGAGCGCCAGCACGAAGTGGAAGAAGTTGGACTTGCGCAGGTTGGAGGGCGGCTGCTTCTCGAAGTGCGCGCGGGACAGGGCGACTCCGCTGCGGGAGGAACACGGGGCGGCGGGCGCGGGAGGAGAGAAGGACACCGGGTTACCCACGCGCCCACGCACCCCGCCGCGGCCCAGGGGCCGGTCCCAGGTCAAGAGCTCTGGACCCTCCGACCTTCCTTCCCACCGGCTTAAGAGGAGGAGACCAGACTCTAGAGGAGTCGCAGGGGCCGGGGCCGGCGGCAGGGCCGCGCTGTATCTGCCGCTCTGCGCGCTGAGCCCGGCCGGCGGCTCACTGTCCGGCCCAAGTGGAGCCCCGAGGAGCCCAGCGGCAGGCCGAGGCCGGGCGGGCCCCCAGGCGGGCCCCGCTCTTGTCCTGTCGGGCCGCCCTCACCTATTTTATCCGGTGGCGGTGGCCGCTGAATAGGTCAAAAGTCAGAGCTGGGCCCAGAGTTTGGGGAATAAGCGCCTCCTTATTTGAAGACTTGACCCTTTTCCTTGATCTTTTCTTGAGTTACACACACTCACTCTCACACACTCACACACACACACACACACACACACACTCACTCACAAACACACTCACACACACACACACTCACACACACACACACACACACTCACACACACACTCACTCACACACACACTCACACACTCACACACACACTCACTCACACACACTCACACACACACACACACTCACACACTCACACACACTCACACACGCCAGCGCTCTCGGAAAGGCTGCGTGAGAACCCTCTGGGCCTCAGGTAGCCCAGAGCCCAAGCCTGCGTCCTACTGGGAGAGGCCTCGCCTCCTGTTTCCCTCGCTCTTCCGAAAAGCTGCCCAGCACCAGGGCAGGGCGGGATCCCCGAAGCCAGCCCTAAGGATCGACCTGATACCGGGGACCCGCCTCCCAAACTGCTAAGCTTGGAGAAGCCAACACGTTAGGACGAGGCCGGCAAAGTCCTCGCTGGGGGCCCAGGGAAGCCTCGTTCCAGCCGCGTCTGCGAGCGGCGCCGGCCAAACGCGCTGACCGCGAAACCCTTTCTGGAGGACCCGCGAGGCTCCCTGGAGGGCACCGAGTGTGTGCACACACCTCCCTGCCGACCTGTCCCGGCCCAGAACCGACTGGCGGCCAGATAACATTTGTCAGGAGGCGGGCCGCGCGCGCAGATGGCTCCCAGGCCCCGCGGCGCTGGCTCTGTGGGCCTCACCCCCCGGGCGCGAGCACTTTCCCCTCTTTGAAGGGGCACCATTTCGCTGGGATGCCCCGCTCCAGCTGCCTGTTCCCATTGCAGCCAGTATTTGATCCGAGCAAAGGATGGAGGTGGGTGGCGTCTTTAAGGAGCTAAGGTCACCCGCCGCGGACGGCTCTGTGGAGCTGCCTGCTGCCCCGGCCTGCAGCCCCCGAGCCCAGACGGCGGCGGAGAGCGGCTGCCGGGGCCGCGGGCTTGGACGCGAGGGAGGGGGTTCGAGTGTTGCTTCCTCTCCTCCAAGGGCGGCAGCTGGTTCGCTCCACCCGGGACACCTGGAGACGTGGCCTGCTAAGAAAGGAGGGATTTCTAGGCAACGCATCGGAACTTAGAGAGGGCGACCAGGAGAGTGGACAGGGCGGCTGGAGTCGTGGGAAGAAGTTCGTGGGCTCCGTGGGGTAAGGTGTCTTTCTCTTGCAGACAAGGACGTGGGGACCACAAATGCCAGCTCAGCAGTGACGACGAGGAGGGGAGCCAGAATGTCTTCTCGGGGTGGCACTCGGGACCAGGCGTGTACCGGCTCAGCACGCGGACGCTTAGAAACCCTCAGCTCCTGGGACCAGCAAAACTGGAGGTTGGCGATGCCAGCGTTTGCGGCCAGCTCCTCGCCTCGCCTCTCTTCTTCGGCAGTTTCTTCTACTGCTACTCCTTCGTCTTTTTCTCTCTGATTTCTTCTTTCCCCTCACTCCGCCTCGATACCTCTGGCCCACCGTTCTAGCTCTGCGCCCGGACCCTCCAGCCAGCCCCCTCCCGGAGCTCCGAGCCGCTTCGCCTTCCCAGGAAACTGATCCGGTCTGTCCGGCTCCTCTCGCCGCCGCCGCCGTCTGCCCGCTAGGCTCCCGGCCTCCAGGAATCGCGGGCAAGAAGCGGCAGAAGAGGCGCTCGCCAGCGGCTTTGCGGAACCGGCATCCCGGGGAAGCCGGCTCTCCCGCGGCCGTCACCGCCGGCTCCGGCCCCCGAGCTCCACTCCGGACCAGCCCCTCCTCGCAGGGCCAGGGAGTGAGCTGCGAGGCGTAGGATGCTACTTTGTTATTTTTCCTCCCAAAGAGCGGTCTGCGGGGAAGGAGTGGGGCAGAAACTCCGGCATTAGCTGCGGGGTAAGTGTTCCCCAGGCTGCAGCGACCTGCATGCCCGAGGGCGAGCCCCAGCGCGCGGGGCCAGGGCGACAGATGCGGGGGAGAGAGAACGAGACAGAGCGAGCGAGCGGGAGGAGGGGGACGGAGAAATACAGAGACGGTGGGAGAGCAAAGGAGCTAGGGACTTTGAGAGCATAATTGTGCGACCGTCTAGTTACCTCTGCGCCGCGACATTGGCGTCCACCACACCGACATTCCGGACCCAGGACCTGACCGAATCCATCTCGGCGCTCAGTGATTTCTCTTTCAGAGCTGGCCCTCTTCCTAAAGTATCTTGAATCCCAAACATTTAAAAAGTATGATCTGTCTCTTTAAAAATAAGAGTTACCACGCTGTCCTTACTGTTCCCAACGTTGCCACCAAACCGTTTCCTCCAAAGCAATCCAAAAAAAGGGACCAAGTACTGAAGTTTGAGTCTCTCTTGAAAAAAAAAAAAAAGATAACCCGTCGTTTGCTTCACGCGTGAGGTGCGGGTTGGTGCAGTTAAAGTTTGGGTTTTATCCTCCGCAAGTTCAGATCTGCCGCCTCGGGTCCTCGGTCCTAAGTCGCTCGCATCCTTCCCGCGGCAGCGCTGCCTGCAGAAAGTGATCACAATTTAGAAGCATCACCTGTTCTGGGAGAAACAGGAGGAGATTGATGACTGCCTAATCTCTCCCTTTCCTCCTGGTCCCCCACCCTCCCGGCTCCCCCCCACCGCTGCAATTTAGAAAAAAAAAATTCCCAACAGGATCAGTTGTAAAAAGAAGGGGAAGACCCGGAGCGGAGAGGAGGCGGTGGCTGCGAGCACCTCGGAGCCGGGCTGCCGCCGCGCACGGGCCCCATGAATGGGTTACTACGGCCCGGGCCGCGGGAGGCGGAGCCGCGGCCCGATAAGGAGCCTCATTTGCATGGACGCTCGGGATTGGCCAGCGCTGGGCAGGCCGGGCGACGTCCTCCGGCGGCGCGCGCCACGCTCGGAGGTGAAAGGGGACGGAAGCTGTGGACACTGCGTCCTTGGTGTGCGTGCGCCGTGGGGAGGTGGCCTGCGACGCGCCCACTCGGTCTGGGTGCGGGAGCGGGAGCCTCCGGGGTGCTGCCTCCAGATGCAGGTTTCTGTGTCCTGCCGGAAGGCATACGCATTCCCGGGGCTGGGATCTGTGGGCGTGTGTGTGAGGAAGCGGAGAGTGTGACCACATGTACTTAGGTTTTGTGCACACGTTCCCCAGAGCAACCCAGTTCCCTGAACGGCTCTCCCAAGTCTCCTGGAGTTACATGGTGACACTCAGATTTTGTGTGCGGTTTACAAGTTGAGAGAGAAGGGTGTGTGAATGAAAGCGGGGGGCGGGGAGGGGAGTGGAGGAGTACGAACAAGGCTCAAGTGCTATTCAAATAAATAGTGTCGGGGAAAATGGTCACGGAGCTAAGGAAAATACCCCGGTGCGGGCGAGAGGTTGCCGACAGATCGTTGCAGGCTTAGTGCAAGAGCTGCCTGGCGTCCTCCCGACGCCCCCTCCGCCTCCCCACCCAGTTCCCGAAGCCCAGGGAGGCAGCAGAGGGGCTGCCAGGAGGCAGCAGAGGAGTCGCGGAAACTTTGCCCACGGCGCGCGGTCGCCGAGGTGCTGGCCGTGGGCTGGTGGCCGGGAGGCGGCGGCAGCTCCGCCAACAGCTGAAACCTTAGACGGCTTTTTAACTGCACCGGGCAGCTCGCGGTGCCTATTAAAAATCCTCCTGGCCGGGTGTTATTTGCTTGCTTCCGCTTTTGTATTCTGATCTGTGCATAGATCTGCTGCTGAAATCTAGAACACTAGCGCGAAAACAGATTTGAAGACAATGAATGCAAATCTGTGCTCAAAGACCATCTGCCGTGGAGGAGACAAATCAGCTGTTCCTCCGTGCGAGCGGCTGCGCCCAGCCTCCCGGCCGCTCTACGCAGAGGGCTCTGCGAAGCCGGGGCTGCGTTCAGGGCTCTTCCCCCACTCGGGACTGCAACTTGAGCGTGAATTGACTTCGGACCAGATCCCTTAGGTGTAGGTGAGCGCTCACAAATGAACTGCGAGAGTTTGCCGCTAGAGGACACAACTCGTTTGCAACTCGTTTGCCTGGAGAAGCTCGCACTTTGGGAAATGCCGATCTCCTGAGAAAGGGACCGGCCCGCGACGGCACTCCAGCCCAGGGCAGCCGGCGACCCCAGGCTTCGCCCGGGATTGCGCTCAGGAAGCGCAAGTCTCTCCTGCGGAGATTTACTTGAAAACAAGGGGTTGGAAGGGGTGCTCGGACCCCATCTGTACAAACTCTAGGACGAACGATTGGGGTGATTTTATTTAAGGGGGCGAGAATGTGAAACCCCCGCCTTTAGATAGTGCTGACCGTGACACCCCCACCCTAGGGCCCTGGCTTGGTCCTCCTTGTTAGGTAGCAAGGGCAGGGGAGCAATAAAGGGCGACTGGGCACCAGAATAGGTATCACAACTGCTGCACAAGCCGAGTGAGATGGCAGTTGAGCAAAGAGAGGAGGAGGACGGGAGCGAAATTTGTAGGGATGAAACTAACTACCCTTTTTCAATTGGGCAATTCTCTGTTATATGCAGGTTTTATGGATATTGTCGGTCCCTACAAAAACTCAGCACCGAGTCTTTTACCCTGAATCGCTCTCTTTATAAACCTCCGTGAAGCTCAAGTAACCACCCACCCCATCCTCGTCCGTGGACTGCGCTCAGTAGAGGTAATGCCTCGGATTCCTGGCGGAAAGTGTGGAACAGCCCGTGGGCCCCTCAAAATGTGTTGAAGAGCCCCGCAATTTTTTCCCTCTCTTGGCCAAGACAGGCACCGAGCGCAACCCTAGGGGCCGCGGGGCAGCAGTGGGTCCGGGTCTGGTCCGAACCGTCTGCCCTTCAGGCCCGGGTTGGCTGGGGTTAAAGGGCACAGCCAGGGCTGAGCGCGCCGGCTCTTCTCGCCCACAACAGCTGCCACCCGAATATGCCCCCCAGGGAGTGAATGAATTGGTCCTTTCTCAGGGCCCCCTGCTGCCCTCCCCAAACTAGACGGCCGCGCTCAGAGGACGCCCCCACCCGCACGTCCCAAAGACAAGTTCAGGGGCAAAGGGCCACGCGGGAAGGTCGTTTTGGAAAACCAGGGCCCCGGAATATGGACCTGGGTAGTGGGGAGCCGCACCGCCCCTCGCCCGCTGTGCTGGAGGCGGCCGCGCAGGGCGCTGGGAGCGAGCAGCGGCTGCTCTGCTGGGAGCCCCGTCGGCCCAAGTTCGCTCTTGGTGGAGACCAAGTTCCCGACTGGCGCGGGGAGGAGGGCGGAGGGGACGGGGAGCCCGGGGGGGGGGGGGGGGCTGCCTGGGGCCCAACCTTATTTACCTGCGGCCTTCGGGGAACCGGGGTAAATTCTGCCACCCCGTGGGGTTTAATTAGGTTTGTGTGGGGTTTGGGGAAGGGTAGTCAAAATCTCACATTACGTAATGCACAGTTACCTTTCCAATGACTTAGCTGTAATTCTAATCGGTGACCAATTAACAAGAAACAAAATATTTTTTAGACATTGGCACAATACTAAGCTTAGGTGACAGGAAAGTTAAACCCATTTCAGAAAGGCGATAATGTGTAAACACAAAAATGTCTAGCTCAGTTGTAAAGCCATTCTGGCCTGGACTTGTCCCAAACTACAATGATAGAGGACCAACTGGACACCAGAATTTAACCTCA